AAGTAATACTAATCAGGGGAAAAAGATTATTCAGCAAACGATGTTGAGATAACTGGCTAAGACACTGGGGAAAAAAAACCTGAACATTTACCTTACTTCTTGTTATTGTTAGGTGCCATAGAGTTGATTTTCAACTTACAGTGGCCCAATGAGACAGAGAAGATCTGCCACAAGGGGTTTTCTAGACTGTAATGTTTATCAGAGTAGATCACCAGGTTTTTAGATCAAACAAATTTCAGATGTGTCAAAATTGTAGAGTTATAAGATATCATCTTGAACATATCAGAAATTTTCAGATTAAAAAAAAAAATCCTAGAGTGGGTCAGCTTTTCTAAGCAAGGCCTGAACTTCAGAAGGCATCATAGAAGTGAATACATTTGCTACATAAAAGTATATAAAAATAAACATTTCTCATGGCAAAAATACCATTAAAAAGTCAAAAGTAAATGCCAAAATGGAAAAAAAAAGTTCAAAACATAGGGAAAATATTACCAAATACATAAGAGCTTTTGTAAATCTGTAAGATTAACGCTCAAAGAAAATTGACAATAGTAATAACAATAGCTAATATTGAGTGCTTGGTATATTCTAACCATTATTCTACATTTTATATATCTACATATGTAGATATATAGGTATATGGTCTATTTATCTGTTGTTGTTGCTAGGTGCCATCAAGTTGGTTCCAACTCATAGTGACCCTATGTACAACACTATGAAAGATCGTCTGGTCCCGTGCCATCCTCACAGTCATTGCTATGTTTGAACCCATTGTTGCAGTCACTATGTCAATGTATCTTGTTGAGGGTCTTCCTCTTTTTCGCTGACCCTCTACTTTACCAAGCATGATGTTCTTCTCCAGGGATTGGTCCCTCCTGATAACATACCCAAAGTACGTGAGACAAAATCTCACCATCCTCTCTTCGGGAGGAGCATTCTCACTGTACTTCTTCCAAGACAGATTTGTTCATTCTTCTGGCAGTCCATGGTATATTCAATATCCTTTG